CCCTCATAAGGGCACTAAGAACACCCTCACTCCACTCCACACAAGTGAGTGTACCCTCATAAGGGCACTAAGAACACCCTCACTCCACTCCACACAAGTGAGTGTGCCCTCATAAGGGCAATAAGGACACCCTCACTCCACACAAGTGAGTGTGCCCTCATAAGGGCATTAAGGAGGCCCTCACTCCACCACACACAAGTGAGTGTATCCTCATACAGACACTGAGGATGCCTTCACTCTGCCTCATACAAGTGAGTGTACACTGATAAGGGCACGAAGGAAGCCCTTACTCTGCTATACTCCAGTAAGTGTATTCTTAGAAAGATACTAAGGAAACCCTAAGTCCCCTACACATTTCCTTTCAGTATTTACACCATGTACTTTTAGTGCATTAGTGTTGTTCACCCCTGAAGTAGCCTTCGCTTTTATTCCAGTGTAAGGGTAATACAACCTGTGCTTGTTCTGACAACTGCAAATGTCATATAGCCTAGTCTAGTGTTGGGAGACAGTATCTACACAGCCGATTTCATCCCTGCCCACGCTTCCCACTCGTTTGATGTTCTGGTCTATACAGAAACGTGCATCCACCCTGAGACCACTGCAAGGGTCCTAACAGATGTTAAACAAAATTGTTATGTTATTTCTACACTGTCAGAAAAAAACTACCAATTTATACCTTTGAGGGTATTACTTGTCACTGGCACTCTACCCTTATAGGTCTGCCAATTGTACCCTAACTTTAGGTAAATGTATCTTTCAGTCTAATTTAAGGTACAGAAATAGACTCTGTGTAACACTGTTGTACCATTAAGGGTACATTAATCTTGTTTGTATCTTCGGGAACAAAACTACTAAGACTGTATCCTTTTTCTGACAATGTATTGAGATGACTTTGTCGTGCTGTACATTTCATGGGTTAATAATCTGTACATGACCACAATCCCGTTATTATAAATGAACTATTGATTAAATATGCGTGCCTATTATAACAGCACAGCTTTGTGTGGAAACACCCGGAGTTCCCTTAACCATAATCGCTCTTCAACGTTTTTTAACAGAGAAAAACTATAGCGTATTTATATAATTTTTTACGTAGTGAAAACTTATTAGCCTCGTTTTGTTATTATACTATACACTATACTATATTTTATTTTATTATGAAAGTAGTCCTACCTCGTAGGGTTATGTTGTTCCACGACATGACAGCAAAGCAAAAGATGTGACAAATTCTTGACGAGGACGGTGACCAAACTGAAGAATATTGCTCAAAACCGGCACCATTAACCAGACAACGAAGATACTGGTGTAATGTGTAAAATATGACAAGGATAATTTCGGTAATATTCTAGTTTTGAAAACTTTTCCCGCAACATTTCTTGAAAGAAAAATAAAATCTTTGGATGAAAAGTATTTACTGCCATCTAGCGGTAAAAGTGAAAACGACACATTCGGCAGTATTTAAATAGGGCATCCTGAATGTGCCTTTCACGGCTGAAAAAGTGATTTATACATTTTGATATTAGTATTACTGTTGATTATCTTAGTTAAAAGCAAATAGCAAGCAGCATAGGAAAACTAGACAGCTGCCTAGGGTCTGATTAGCACAAGGGGGCCCAAACATAGTCATGAAAAATATTTATTTAATATCAATATATAATTTATAAATAAGAATAATGACACAAAAGTGAGAGAGCCCAACCAGTCATTCATCAAGTTAAATACATTTGTTAAAAAATAGCAAATACATTTACAATTAATTTTTATTACACAGTCATACGGCTAACTTAAACTACATTCTCAAATATGACTTTACGATACAATTTTATTGAACTTAATATGTTGAAACAGCATTTTAATCTGACCAATAGAATGTGTAATTGCACCCCTGGTAAAACTGCCTATGCATCAGTCATGCATCAAAATGTTATGACAATAGCTGCACACATGGTGCCCAATAGAAGAGGCGGTTTGAGCAGGATGGGAAAGAGTTGGGTTTGAGAAATGAAGTCCTGCTGGTAGCCTGTCAGGATCCATCCCTGTCCCGCGCCTTTTCTTATATCAGTTCTCCTAGTGGCCAGCAGATGTTGCTGGTCATCCCAGTGTCTCTAAATCCTTGTGTTTCCCTGCTCCCCGGAATTTAGCAGGTTAAGCCACCAGTCAGTCACCATCCATCACAACTTCCTTTTTATTGCCCTGGATTTGACATTTTATAATTAACTGTTTATTTCTTGTAATGCTTATGTTAGTTATTTGGTGTATTTCTGTGTGGTTCCTTGTTTTGCTCCCTGGTTACATTATGTTCAGTTTTCCTTGTTTTAGTTTCCCTTTGTGTTTGAACCTGCTGTGTCTGTTAATTGACCTCACATGCTCCTCGTTACCCTTTGTTCTTATAGCCCACACCTGCCCCCTGCATGTCCTTGTTAACAGTGTATTTGAAGGCCTGCTTTTGTCAGGCATTGTAGTTGTTCCTGTGTGTTTGTAGCTGTGCTGCTTCCTTGTGTTGCTGTATGCTTCTCAGTCAAAGTTACCCTGTGTTACTTTGTAGTTTCCTACCCACCCTTGGTTTTGTTGTTCCTGGTGTTGATTCCTACCTTAATTTACTTTTGACTGCTCGTGCTTCCCCTTTATTTTCTGGTTCTTTCTTTGTGTTCTTTTTGAGTTTAATGAAGTCTTCTGTTTGTTGGAGCCACTCCGTAGATCATTCCTCCTTCGTGAAGCCCCACCGTAACACAAGCAAAATAAATTGAAAGAGTTCTTCAAATCAGAAGTTCTGACACAAACTCTTCCTGGGGCAAACGGTGTCAGTGTGACCCTTACTGCTGCTGGGAATTGGCATAAGAATGAACACCAAGGCTGTAGTGTTACTGTGACCTCATCAGCAGTTCAGGCCTGTGGCACGGTGTCGTAATCACAATTCATGAATGAGACTCAAAGTGCAGGGGCCCCGAACTGCCAAAGGCCAGTGGAGTGCCAACTGTGCAAACCTTTGCCCAGACTGCACTAGTGAGGCATTGGTGTGCAGGCAGGGCTATCAGTGTGGGCTGACTGAAATGGAGAATGATAAGATAGAACGCTATCGATCCCACGGGGAGCATTTCTGCAATCCAGCAGTATAACAAAAATAAATAAATCCCATTGCAATAGCCCTCTTAATAAACAAACAGATGAATAAATAAGAAATTGTATATACAGTGAAGGCTGTACTGGTGAGGTAGTGAAACAATAGACTGATGAATGAAAAGCGTCTAACAAATGAGTGGCAGGAGGAACAATGCAGCATCTCCTGCAGTCTGTCATGATTCCTGAGGAATGAGCCTCTGGC